CCAAGCCACACTGCTGGCAGACATTCTTCCTGCTCTTCCAGAGCAAAGACTGTGTTTAGAAGTTCTTTCTATCCAGTGAACTCATACCCATCCTTCAGGACCCAGAGTAGCTATTGAATGAATGAGCTTTGTGGTTCTCCAGGCAGTTAGGACTTTCTACCTCTATATTTCCATAGGATTATCCTCATCTCTTTGTTTAATGGCTATCCGCCCTCTTCTTCTTCTTCTTCTTTTTTTTTAACGTATTTTGTTTCTCACCTACTCAAAACTGTGCATGCTTTGAAGTCAGGAATTTTGTTTCACCTAAGCTCTGTCCATTGCTCAATATTTGTGGAATTGATTCTAGACTCATTTTCTCCCCTTCATCATGCTGCCACATATGCTCAGGATGGTTTTGGCAGATCTCATAGAATGAGGGCTCTAAATAATGTTTAACCTGGCAGATCTGGTTTCTCTCGTTAAATGTTGGTTCCCATTCCTAGAAAATGTTTTACTTGTTCACCTGACAATGGACAAGAAGACTGACTAAACTATACATTTCTTTCCTACAAACATTGTTTAACTTTTTTTTTGACCTTTAATTTTGTTATTTAAAAGATGCGGGGTACAATTCAGATTTAGGTATACAAATGTTCATTATGCAGGTACTCTTGTTGATGAGGTGTGCTAGTCCCCTGGCAGATGCCCACTACTGCCAATCCTGCCTCTTCCCCTCACAGCAGTTTCCTGCTACTACCAATTCTTTTCTTATAGTATTACGATAATTGTTCAAGGTACACTTATGAGTAAGAACATATGATACTCATTTCTTTGTTTCTGTGATATATTACTCAGTATTATAGACTCTAAGTCCATCCAGGCTACTGTGAAGTTTATGATTTTGTCCTTCTCTATGGCTGCACAATATTCCATCATGTATATGTACCACATATTTTTTATCCAGTCCTCTTTTGATGGGCAGCATAGTTGGTTACATGTTCTTGCTATTGTGAACAATGCTGCAATAAACGTATGTGTGCAGGTATCTTTTTCATGGAGTGATTTGAGTTCTTCTGGGTATCTTCCCAGTAGGGGAATTGCGGGCTTGTTGATTTTTAGATCTTTTAGGAATCGCCACACTGTTTTCCACAGAGGCTGTACTAGTTGACATTCCCACCAACAGTGTAGAAGTGTTCCCTTTTCATCGCATCCTCTCCAGAATCTGTTGTTTTTTGAGGTATTGATGATGGCCGTCCTGACTGGAGTTAGGTGGTATCTCAGTGTAGTTTTAATACGCATTTCTTTGATGACTAGTGAGGTTGAGCTTTTTTTCATGTATATGTTGTTTGCTCATATATCTTCTTTTGAGAAGTGTCTACTCATATATTTTGTCTATTTTGCAATGAGGCTGTTTGTTTTTTTCTTTTCTGCACTTTTTACCAAGACTGCTTATTTTTCCACCTTCATTTCCTACAAGTCATCCTGTAATACATCACGATGTACCAGCTATACTGCTATCCTTTCAGTCTCTAAAAACACCTAGCTCTTTCTTCTTCACAGCATTTGCATGTGCTATAATACTTTATAATAGAATTGAAATTGTCATAAGAAATAATTGTTCATTTATTTCATTTTTTGCCATCTTAATTCATCATTTTTTTTTTTTTTGAGTTGGAGTCTCTGTTGCCCAGACTGGAGTGCAGTGGCTGCTCCCGGCCACTGTAGACTCGACCTGCTGGGCTCCGGCGATCCTTCCACCTCAGCCTTCCGAGTAGTCAGAATTACAGGCATGTGCTACCACGCCTGGCTGATTTTTTGATTTATTGTAGAGATGAGGTCAGGATCAAATAAGATGACACACTATTAAAGCATGTAAAATCTCTATCAGAGAGCAATTCATCATTTTTATTATAAATTGCTCTCTGATAGAGATTTTACATGCTTTAATAGTGTGTCATCTTATTTGATCCTTAAAACTTATCTTAGAAACAAAGAACAGAGTACCATATGTTCTCACTCATAAGTGGACCTTGAATAATTATAATGCTATAAGAAAGTGTTTGGTAGTAATGGGAAACTGTCGGGGGGGTTGGGATTGGAGTTAAGGGAAATTGCTAGGGGAGGGAGGGGCATACCTCATCAACAAGGGTACCTGCATAATCAATGTTTGTATACCTAACTCTGAATTGTACCCCACATCTTTATAATAAAAAAAATTTAAAAAGAAACTTAGAAGAGTCTTTTCCCATCCTCATGGACTTTCTCCCTCTTTAACTTCAGTTCATTCAATATCAACTTCAATGAATGGGAAAAGTTGAGTTATTCTCCTTCAGAGCTCCTGATTATTTCCTTCATGCCATTTTTTGGTCAGGATCTGTAGTTATTTTATTTATTTGATTACATTTTTTTCCTGTTTCTCACATTAGAAGTGAGTTCCATGAGGGTAAGAACCATAATTATTTTGCTGAGTATTGTATAACAACATTTCACAATAATTACATATTGAAGGGTAAATAAAAGAAAATGAATACAATAAGTATGGATGCTATATGTTGGCATGCCTATCAAATACAGCTTTTTAGTAAACTAAGTAGTTTACTAAACAATGACTGGTCAATCAGTCAAAGTCCATCGGTCAGTCAATAAACCTGCTGCCATGTGCCAGTCATTCATTAACCAAACTCTGCTATGTAAAGTACCAAACATGAGGCAAGAGCTATTATATAAGCTATGACTTTCTAATGCTTTTAGGATGATGAAGAAAATGTTAGGTGATCCAGTCTGTGGATCATCTCAGCTTCAGACGACTGTCCTCTTGCTGACCATGACCCAGCCAAGTGACCTTCTTTCTATGTCTCCAAAATGCCATTCTCCTTATCACAAACATTACCCTACTCATTAGAGAAAATACATAAGACCAGTTTATCTGATTCACTCACAAGCTCCTACTGTTTCTTGTCTCTTTCCTGAGTACACCCAGTTTCCCACTGAATGTATCCTTTAGCCTGTGCCCTTTATTGCCAGGCTGTTGTTGCAACAGACATGTCCTTTCACACTCCTTTGGGACACATGACTTTCTATAAACCAAATAAACAAAATCACATATTTTTTCTTTTTTACCATGAGTACTCTAATGCAGATTGGAATATCATTCTATGATTTATTGTCAGTCTCAATAGAAGAATAAGTGTGTTTGCTTGAGAGACTATGGTGGATATTTGAAGGACTTTGAAAGGCTCATCAATATGTTGCAAGAGTGGTGTTTCAAGAAGGGCACAGAAAAGGAGGAGAAAAGTGAAAACACAGAAGCTATCATGTTGAATTTCATTTAGAGTTTCGTTTTAGTCCTTTAGAAAAAGTCTTCTGGGTAAATAAATTTTCCAGTATTAGAATATATTTTGTAACATAAATAGCATACTTTTACTAGCTGTACTGATTAAATATTGGAGGAATTAATCTTAAGGAGGAAAAAAAGGTCGAATGTTACAGTTCTTCCTTCTTTGCCAAACAAGAACCTTCTTGTCTCTCATGTTTTGACTGCATTAACATTTATGTTGTTTGCATACAGTTGGTAAAACAGCACTGAATATAGTGTCTTTCTAAATTCATCAGACATACTATATAGTTCCCCGGTATGAATTCGTGATTAATCCAGCTTGTTAGGCCTCTCATGTGACTTTATAAACATAACTCAGCTGTATTCATCTTCCAGAATTGAAAAATGAGAACGAGTTTTCCTTCATTTAACTTTTTCTAAAGTTTCTACAAGATGGTGCTCATGTTACAGTTAAACATCAGCTGTACAGCTTTCTCTTTCTTTAGCTATTAGTCCCTGAGGTAGAAGTCTGTAATCAAAGAGAGGTCAACTGTATCCAAATAAAAAATATGCCAGAATGTCTCTGGCATAAATCTCTCCTTAAAGATTCAGTAGTGTTACTTCAGGAGAGGGGAAAAAGTACTGTTTTATTTAAAAATCTAAGAACTTAATTCATAAAAAAGAAACTGAGTTATCCAGTCATCCTAACGGGGAGCTATGCAAGTACAGGATTTCCACATTACTCGTCCAGTTGTTTTTCTGTTTACTAAGTTTGGAAAGCACTTAATCATAGATAAAATATTACTATATAGTAAATATATGACTACTGTTGATGAATATCCACCGTGTCGTTATACTCTATAGAGAGGACATTTTTTTTTTTTTTTTTTGAGTTGGAGTTTCACTCTGTCGCCCAGACTGGAGTGCAATGGCTGCTCCTGGCCACCGCAGCCTCCACCTGCTGGGCTCCGGCGATCCTTCCACCTCAGCCTTCCAAGTAGCCGGAATTACAGGCATGCGCTACCACGCCCAGCTGATTTTTTGATTTATTGTAGAGATGAGGTCTTGCTGCCCAGACGGGTCTCAAACCCGCGGGCTCAGGCAATCCACTCACCTCAGCCTCCCAAAGGCGCGGGATTGCAGGCTGAGCCACCGAGCCTGGCTAGAGAGGACATTAACTAAAAGTCTATTTTAGCATTATAATCATTGTATAGTATCCAGTTAATTTTAGAAGCAACTTAGAACTAGCTCTTGACAAAATTATAAAGCAGATAGAGAAAATCTTTCTATTTAGATGTCAGTTGGTTGTCTAAGTTTCCGAATTTCCTCACTAATAAAATATTGTTCTATTGCCAATAACAATCATAAGGTGGAATGTCTCTCATGGGTATCTGCACTTGTCTTATATATAAGTTCAGGTATGATTTATGTTGTATCCTGAAGGCCAGAGCCTTCCCAGCATCACAATTTCAGTTACATCACATTTAAAGTGGTTTTCATGAAAACATTTCTTTCTCTGATTGTTTATGCAAATCCTAAATCAGAAGTCATTTAAAATAAGAAAGACTTATTGAATGCCTTCTATTTGCAAATAATCATAAGTACAAACAAATTTCCCATCGGTTAATCCCATCATTTCCAAATGTTTCATTTACTTATAATTGTTTCTTCTCCTTCTCTCTTTCATTATGAATTAATTTTTCAGGCTGGTGGTTTGATGCTTGTGGTCCCTCCAATCTAAATGGAATGTTCTATACTGCGGGACAAAATCATGGAAAACTGAATGGGATAAAGTGGCACTACTTTAAAGGGCCTAGTTACTCCTTACGTTCCACTACTATGATGATTCGACCTTTGGATTTTTGAAAGCACAATGTCAGAAGCAATTACAAAAGCAACAAAGAAATCTGGAGAAGCTGCCAGATGAGAAACTGCTTGAAAACTTCTGAAGCAAACAATATTGTCTCCCTTAACAGCAACACGTGTTGGTCATGTGAAGTCACCAAGGTTCTTGACTGTGGATTTGTAGCCTTCTGAGTTCACGAAAGTCTCTACTTGGGGCCACCACGTTCATATGGCTTGACTATAGAATATGCCACTGACTGCCATGCTTTAAAAAGGGAAGAAACTGCTCAGCTTGCTGTGCTTCAAACTACTACTGGATCTTATTTTGAAACTACAGTAGCCAGATGATAAATATGGTTAATGTCATGTAAAGCAGAAAAATGAATAAAAATAGAATATACACAAAGAATAGAAACAGGCCTGCCATAATCTTTTGGAAAAGATGTATTATTACACCAGTGAAAAGGTGTCATATCTATGCAAACCTACTAACAAATATGTTTATTCTGTTACACAATTCTGATAAGAGTTCAGGAAAAACATCACATTCCTCTGAGTTGGTTAAATGTTAATGGATTTCAGAAGCCCAGTTCCGACATCATACTTAATAGTTTATTTGGTTTACCCATCTTCAAATGCAAGTTCCAGTTTTGCAAGCTATAATCAATCATAGAACATGGATATTAACAATGTGAGGCAGAAACAAACTCTATTACTCTTTGATTTTTTTTTTGACTTTTTTTTTAAATTGACATACTCAAGTAAGGACTTATGAGGTAAAAAAATTACTATCCCCCTACTATGGCTTTCATTTATTTTTAAAACTGACTGACTGATATATAAATATATTTATAGCCTGAGTAAAGTTTGAAGAATGAGAAATATATCATCAAGTTCTTAAAATAATATACATGCATTTAATATTTCCTTTGATATAATACCAGAAAGCAGTATTTTGGAGTATATTAAGTTGGAGAAAAACCAAGTAAACTGGAGGAGTTCATTTTACAGTATCTTGCATGTGTATGCATATGGGTAACTTCATTATTTTAAGATACATTCGTTATTTTTAGAATTTCAGTTCTACACCCTGTAATTTCTTACTAAATTAAATTTTAACATGTTTACCAGATTCATCCTATTCCAGCTTCTATAGAAGATACACTTTTAAGTGTATGAAAAATAAAATAATTATAAATACCATTGTACTTAGCATGTTTATATCCATGATAAACCTCATAGCTATTAAATCTGAAATATGCAATGTTGTCCTTAATTAATACAAATAAACACAAGTGCTCCAAGAAATCTATTATATTGCTTGATGAAACACATTACTATTCATATTTTTCTTCTTCAGTCTGCTTTCTAAGGCAATTTTTAATTTTTAAAAATTATTATCATTAGTGGAGAAAATTGTAAAAACATTGTATATTATATGTAAGGGAAACACACATACACACAAAGAAAATAAATCACAGTTATCTGACTAATTAAGAGAAATTCTGACTGTTATCTGCTATAAATTTCTCAATGAAAGTATTTCTATGGGATATTCTATTTTAAGTGAAATTTTGGGCACAGATTTTTGTGGGAACTTGAAATTATTACAGTATTTTATAAAAAAATTACTCTCTGCCTCTAAGTATTCAAGATTACAATAGTGGACAGTTTTTTAAAAATATATGGGTTATTATGGGATGAGAGAATTGAAATATATACTGAGTCTTCTTTCTTAGAAAATAACTTTTTTTTTCAAGGTAATAATACCAATTTCAGAGTTGGGTGCTTGATTTACCATGCCTTACTAGCTTTCCTCCATTTGAGAGGATAAAGCTGTTCACATTTTTAATAATTTGTTTTTAAAAATTTACTACTAAGTCTTTTTATATTTATGTATCTGTATACAAATCTTTTTTTGTCTTACAAATGATATTTGCAGGTATTATACAATTTTTCTGTTCTTGATGGTTCCTTCATAGCACAGTTAAGTCTCCATCCCTAAAAATCTTCTTGATTGTTTCCATTTAGGTAAAAGAGAATGAGTGTTTTGTTCTGTTGTGTTTCTACAGAATTTTTTTTTTACCAGTCTGGATAAAAAACTATTTCTAAACTCATATTACAAAAATAAAATAAAATAATGAAAAAAAGAAAGCATGATATCTACCATTTTGTTATCTGGGTTTTAAAAATGAGATATTGTTTTCAATTATTTATAATAAAAGTATAAAATGATTTATGACTCCATTATGTGCATTGTGTAATGCTTACATGCTTATAGAAATTTATCATATATAACCTTTGCATTTAATTATTTCAGAATAGGATAATTAGGCATTCGAATTTTGTCTTTAAATTTTTATTTCAATAAAATCCATGGTTTTTATTCAAATTTCTTCATTTCAATCACAACATTGATTTTAAAAATTGAAAATAATATTTGTGCAACCTCATCTCATTATGAAAATAAGGAATCACTGAAAAAATATCTACCAAGTGAACTATAACTTGAATCTTTGAAAAGCTTTTGGTCTGGGATGAAATAAGAATGAGTAGCCTAGCCAGGCTCGGTTGCTCAGCCAGTAATCCCGTGCCTTTGGGAGGCTGAGGTGAGTGGATTGCCTGAGCCCGCG